CAGAGTTAACGAAGCGGTGCTTTTGAAGATCATTTTTCGTCTCCTTGGGCAAAAAAAACGAACAACACACACACACAGCCGCATGTACACACACACACACACACACACACACACACACACACACACACACACACACACACACACACACACACACACACAGCGGCATGTACACCATCGCGGGAATAGTCTGTACAGCTTTCTAGGACCTCAAAACGTCGAGATCTGATGGAAACTTGATTTTCACAAAACGGGTAAAAACCAATAACGATTTTTGAAAATTTCTCCGGCACACAAAAAAAAAGTTGTCTGTACTTTTGGCTGGACCCACATACGGGCACGTATTTCGACCTGCTGAATCCGAATTTGAAGTCCGTTTAGCCTGGCCACCCTTCAGTTTCGAGTAAAGTGCAAAAAACCCAAAAAAAAAAAATAAAAAACGCAGTCACAGCGATAAAAAAATTTTTGAAAAAATGAAGGGTAGGTATCGAGTAAAGTACAATTTCAGCATGATATTAGATATTTTCTGGATTGCCCTGCGTCCTCAATAACCCCTGGACAAGACGGGCACTCCAGAGAATCGTCGTGCTTAAATCGCAGGTACTCTCGAAAGCACCCATGTCCTGATAACATCTGCGTTAGGTAATAGTTGACTTCGCCATGGTTTCGGCTCAGCCAAACATCGATCTTTGGTATGAGGTGTTTTAAGGTCACAGGAAGCTTCCCTGACTATCCCCGCGAGGTTTTCACTGTGTGTGTGTGTGTGTGTGTGTGTGTGTGTGTGTTGTGTGTGTGTGTGTGTTGGTGCCATTCAAAAGGGCTCCACTAAACTTAGATTTCCTGAAAATTTGAACCGATTCGGACCGATAGATTTTGAAAAATTTAGAGAAATCTCCAAAAAAATAGAAAAAAATAGGAAAAAAAATTTTTTAGAAGTTGTTTTTTTGGAATAACTTTTAAACGGCTCTACCGATCGATTTCAAAATCTAATCAGCTCTCAACCTTAAAAAACCACGTCGATTGCCGCCAATCCGGTCAAAATCGGTTGATTCGTTCGAGAGATATCGTGAACGAAAAAAAACCGAAAAAAGTGTTTTTTCGGAATTACTCCGAAATTTCTAGTTTAACCAATTGAAACTTAAGACTTCTTTATGAGAATTAAAAAACTGCGTAGAATGCCGCCGACCGCGTGAAAATCGGTTCATTCATTCAAAAGTTATTGCGATTTGAAAATAAAAAAAATAGTGTTTTATCAAACTTCTATCAAACTTTTGAGCTCGAAGAGCTCAAAAGCTTTTTTTTGAGCTCGGAGAGCTAAAAATAATACACAAATTGTATTCATGAGCTCAAAGAGCTCTAAACGTCATAAGTGCAATTTCAAGCGTTTAGGTATAGAATTGGCGGGAAGTTGCAGGGATGGCCTTCAGGGTCAACCGTATTTCTAATTTTTTTTATTTAAAGTGATTCGGACACGACCTATAAATTGTGTTGCTAATATTTTCAGTCGCCGATGCTGCCTCTCTTACGGACTATCACTAGCTCACTTTGACTCATGGTTATTTGTGAATACAAATTTTTTTTCATTACGATATTAACGAAACCTTTGTCAGAATATTTTTTTTTGTCTTAAAATAATTTCCAAGAAGTGATTTATATCAATGATGAAAGTTTTTTGTTCTCTTATCTTAAATAGATTCAGTGAGATTATGTCAAATAAATGTGTTTTACATTGCCATAATGTCCGATCCACTTTAAAGTTAAAAATTTTTTGCACCTGCAGGTTGAAAGACGGTAAAGCCATCGGAAATCTCGATTAATTTATTGTGAATCACAATAAAATTCCGTAATTTTTTTGTAAATCATGTTAAATTCACACGGTAAAATCCTGGTGTAGTTACCATAGATTCTGATAATTTAGGTTTGCCAGGATGAGTTATTTTTTATTTTGTACAGAAAGTATAAGTATATAATATGAAGATTGTTGATGTGTCATCAAAGTATCGTTAAGAGCGAAAAGGAACAATTGTGATGTGTTTTTATGCTTTACAAATCGTTGTATTAATATTTCTTAAATGTTAAAAACCGCACTTAGCGTAATCAAAATCAGACAAAAAAAATCTGGAAAACGGTTGACCCTAAAGGCCATCCCTGCAACTTCCCGCCAATTCCACACCTTAACGCTTGAAATTGCACTTATGACGTTTCTGAGCTCTTCGAGCTCAAAAATACAATTTGTGTGTTATTTTGAGCTCTCCGCGCTCAAAAAATTACCTCTTGTATGCTTTAGAGCTCTTCGAGCTCAAAAGCCTGATAGAAGTTTAATAAAACAGTATTTTTTGAATTTTCAAACTGCAATCATTTCTAAATGAATGAATCGATTTTCACGCGGTTATCAGTAATCCACGCACTTTTCCAGAATCTATGATAAACTATTGAACATAAACTGATCGAACCGAAAATCTTAGAGAAATTTGAAAAATTCACTTTTTTCGAATTTTGTCAAATTTTTTCGATAACTCACGAACTAATCAACCAATTTTTACGTTTTTGGTGACGATCGACGTGATTTTTTGGGCTCTAATAATTATTTTATTTCGTCAAAAACGATCCGAAAAGAAATGTCGAAGTTATGTGAAAAAACACTTTTTCGAAATTTTTCGTTTTCGATAACTCTCGAACGAATTAACTGATTTTGATGGGACTGGTGGCAATCGACGTAGATTTTCAAGGTTAAGAGCTGATTAGTTTTTGGAAGTGATCGGTGAAGCCATTTAAGAGATTTTTTGAAAAAATGTTTTTTTTTTGAAATTTTTCGTTTTTGATATCACACGAACGAATCAACCGATTTTGACCGGTCCAACGGTGATCGACGTGGTTTTTCAAGGTTAAGAGATGATTAGTTTATGGAAGTGATCGGTGAAGCCATTTAAGAGATATTTTGAAAAAATATTTTTTTCGAAATTTTTCGTTTTCGATATCTCACGAACGAATCAACCGATTTTGACCGGTCTACCGGTGATCGACGTGGTTTTTCAAGGTTAAGAGCTGATTAGTTTTTGGAATCGATCGGTAAAGCAGTTTAAAAGTTATTCCAAAAAAACCATTTTTTGAAAATTTTGTTTTTGAGATTTCTAAAAATCTAGCAAACCGAATCGATTCAAATTTTCACGAAATTTAATGGCAATGATACTCTTTGGATGGCCACCAATTTCGATCCGATCGGCCAAGCCGTTCAAAAGTTATAAGAGGTTTACACACACACATACACACACACACACTCAAGCCGTTCAAAAGTCATGAGAGGTACGTACACACACACACACACACACACACACACACACACACACACACACACACACACACACACACACACACACACACACATACATACATACAGCCGCACGGACACCATCGCGGGAATAGTCAGGGAAGCTTCCTAGGACCTCAAAACGTCGAGATCTGATGAAAACTCGATTTTCGACAAACGGGGTAAAAACAATAACTTCCCAATTTTTGAAAATTTTCAATTTTCTTAGCGGGAAGTTAAAAATAACCAGAAGTTGTTATATCTTATAGTTACTTAGTTAATATACATTATATCTATACTTACTTTGTATGAAGCACTCTTGAGATTAACTTTTTTTCCTTTGTTAGTTAATGTGCATTTGAACCGAATAAAGAAATTACAAGAACACATTTCGTTAACGCTGTTAGATTCCATCAATAAATAATCTTTGATTTCTTCATGGTCACAAGGATGACTATAATCGTAAACACTTTGACCAATCATATCCAGCTGAGAAATCCCTAGATAATCACTAACATTTTCAGAAAGATAAACCATATCTCCATTACTGGCAATTACTAACATGAATCCATCCAAAGCCTGAGGAAAAAATTCATCTGCTTCGATTGTTGATTCAATTTTTGTAAATGGTTTCTTTAAAGCATTGGCAACACTACGAATTTTTAAGTAGGCTATTGCTAGTCTCATCACGCTTGCTTTGTCTAAATGTATTACTTCATCAGGAGAAATAGGTAGTGCTGCTGCCATATTTAAAAAAATATCTGTCTCACGACTTCTTCGACATCTTGCTGCATCTCGTGATTTTTCTTTTCTTTTATCATTGCTCCTGTAATTAAAAAAAACTATGTGTAACCTTTCGTCACACGCGCTAAAAATCCTGACGTCCTAACAGGAGTCGCAAGAAATCACCGCAATGCTTTCTAGCTTGAAAGACTTGCCGAATTTATTTTAAGCGTACAAAATCTCACTTTTAAAAAACTAAAATTAATTATAAAAACATATTAACTACTTTAATTTTATTTAATACTTGAAGAATTTTCAAGTCTCATCAAACTTTTTATTAATAAATAATAAAAATACCCAAATGTTTCCAAAAAATCTTATAACTTTGCAAGTGAAATTTACATAATAAGAATACACGCGCAAAATAAATTGAAAATTCAGGCCTGAGAATATTTTTAGATTAATAATAAATTCTAAAATAAGTAGCATCAATTATTTTGATAATTTTTATAATATTTCAAATAAAAGTCAACATGCGGAGATTTTCTTAGTAGCGAGAGTAACGAAAGGTTAAGTAACATGTGTTCAGAATTTCATATTTCATTCAATTTTGAATTGCTTTGATCTGCTGAAAAATTTCCTAAATAATAAAATAATGTAACATTATAAATAAAATCAATTGACTATTATTAAACTAAAATACTGATGTTCACTAGTACACAGATACAAAGTCATCTTGAGTCAAGTAATATTTACTTGATCCAAGTATATTCAACCGAAGATAAAATATATTCTTGAGTTAAGTAAATTTTTTTCTTGTATTGGTCAATCTTGGTTTAAGCAAATATTCCCTAGTTCCAACAGGCTTACCAACTTAAGTGAAGAAAAAAACCTCTTAATCCAAGTAAATCATTCTCTTGGTTTTTGAACTTGCTTAATGTACACACGGGCGCATTGAGGCCCGAGTAGGACAGCAGCCGCGCGGAAACCCATTTTCAACATTAAATAAAAATTATTGTTTATCGAGCTAGAGTTCCGGGAGTCGAGACTTTTTTTCAGAAATTTCTTCCTCTTTAAGGATCTTTTTTTCTGATTGTCGATATCACTTATAGTTATTGAGTTATTAACGCAACAAATTTCTAACCGTGTACTTTGTATGAGTCGAGCAAATACTTGTATATACATATATTTTTGTCACTACACACTTAACTGTAAAGCAGTAATATAATGGGAAATTAGCACGTTAAAAATTAATCAAAAATGTCTAATTAAATGAACACACAAAATAAAAATCATGCATAAGGTTATTTTTTTAAATTCAATTCTTTATTAAAAAAATCTCGGTTTAGTTTCAAAAAATCACGTCGCCAACGTTGGCGCTACTTTCTCAAACCAAGAGAAAGATTTACTTGGGATAAGTATATGACATTATTAGTTCAAGAATGAATTTTTTCAACTAAGATAGCAGAATAACTTGAAACAAGAAGTAAATTTTGAAGAAAATGATTTTCTTGAGTCAAGATGACTTTTTTTTCTGTGTAGCAGAAATTAAATTAGGAAAAACTCTCAAGTGTTATGTGATTTTTGAAGGGTTGTACTTGAATGAAAACAGTCGTAGGGAGAACAGAAAGAAGAAATTGAAATTTCAACTTTGTAGTTTTAGAAATTTTAATTCATAGTTTTTTCAATTTCAGTTTTCGAAAAACCATAAGGAAAAAACAAAAAATAGTTCTCAAGTTTATGGTTCGTTCATTCAAAGCTTCAAAGACTTTGATGTACGTTTCAAAAAATTTTGGAAATTTACAAAAAAAAAATAACTTCCTAAAAATTATTCGACATTAATGTTTAGAATTAATTAACCGATCATTAGGAAGGTCGTTAAAAATTAAATTTTTTGCGGCGCCCAAAAAAATCCTTTCTTAGAACGAGAAACTACGGGAAAAATTTTGTTTTTTGGTATTTACGGTATTTAAATTTGGATAAGAAATCATGAAAAAAAGCTTGTAGGAAATTAAATTCTCTACAAAAGGGTTTCTTTTGTTTTTAGATGAAGTTCATATCTATCGAGATAATTGAAGAGTAAAGTAATTCTAAGCCAACTTTCCCGATCCAAATTGACGGTAAACTAAATTTTTAATTTTTATTAAATTTCAATTCTTACTTATTATCTATTTACACCACATTATTGTCGGTATGAGGTCTCAGTTTCGGTGGTCGAAAAAAGATTCACTGAGTAAACAATATAATCTTAATTAAATAAAGATTTTTAATTGTAATGCCTTTTTTTTCGACTACACAATATGAATCGCAATTTATTGTAACTGCTATTCGATTGTGGGAGGAATTGCCAGCAACCATAATAGAGTCAACTAGTCTAGAGAGCTTTAAAAATAAAATATTTGATCATTTATTTAACCTGGACATTTAATTATAGTTGTTGTTTATTGTTTTTATTAGCTAAATCGATAAATCTCTGTCATATTTCTTAATATCCGCAAAATCAAAAATCAAAATTGTTGTATTTTTTCTTTTTTAATATTCTTGTTATTTATAAATTATATTATTCTTCTTTTGTAAATTTAATTTAACTAGTTTTAATTATACTAAATTTATTTTTAATTATATTTGTATACATTAAGAATTTCTTGTAATCTTCTTGTATATATATATGTAAAAATTGCCATCTGGTACTAACTTTGGCATAAATAAAGTATTCTATCTATCTATCTATCTAATTGTTAGATATATTCACCCGAGGATGGTATGAGACCTCATACCGACAATAATGTGGTGTAAATAGATAATAAGTAAGAATTGAAATTTAATAAAAGTTAAAAATTTAGTTGACCGTCAATTTGGATCGGGAAAGTTGGCTTTGAATAACTTTACTCTTCAATTAATGATATCACCGATCTTCGGAACAAATGTAAATCATCGAGATAATCTTATTAATAAACTCATAAACTTCATTAAGTCAGTCATCTTAGCACTAAAAACTTTATTTTTCCAGAAATATGAACATTTTTATAACTTCTATTCACAATTAGTTATTTAAATAGGCCTTGCAAATAATAACAAAGTTATATTTGATATTATTTCCTAATTTTCAAAACGAAAATGTGCAAATTTATTTCTCATAAACTGATTTAGCAATTCCAAGGTTTGAGTAAGCTTCCTTTGATATTTTCTATGCGTCGAGCTCTGTAATCATCCAAAATTCGAATAATAAACTGCTTCTGATCTTCATCTTTCGTGAACAAATCATTGTATTCTCACGTTAATTTTACAGCGCGTTCAGCAACATCGTTCACAACTGGTAAATTATTTACAGCGTTCAAACAGGTCTGATAATTTATATCTTCTTGCTAGTTTTCACAATCATCTTTCAACCAAGTTGTATTAAACACAGTTTAAGGAAGAAATTTATTGAAAAAGGATTAACGAACTGCTCTAATCCTTGGTCGAATAATTTTGATACATCTTTTTCAGTTATTGCCAATTTTTTTAAATTATTGATTTGACGACTGTCATCTGAAGAATTAAGTTCATTATTAGAAGTATCGAACAATTTTTGAACCATTTTTTTTTTCGATTCTTTATTAACACCGTCATCGAATAATGCCATCAAACAGTTTTTTGGAGTTAGGTACCATAAATGAATCAAAATTTTTTTCAAAGCAGCAGAAAACAGTTTTTTGTTAATTAATTAGAAGTTGTCAATCGATTGTGAAAACTGGCGAGAAAATATAAATTATCAGATCTGTTTGAACGCTGTAAATAATTTACCAGTCGTGAACGATGTTGCTGAACGCGATGTAAAATTAATGCAAGAATACAATGATTTGTTCACGAAAGATGAAAATCAGAAGCAGTTTATTATTCAAATTTTGGATGATTACAGAGCTCGAAACATAAAAACTACAAAAGAAAGCTTACTTAAGGGGACCCGGTGGTCTAGCGGCTTAAAATTTGAGCTATTTTAAAAAATTTTATTTCTATGTGAAGGTGATGACTAATGCTTTCAAATTTTTTATACTTATTCTATTACTTATCAACTACACAAAAATGAAAATCAAAACAAAAAAAATTTTTTTTTTAAATTAGAAAAATGGCGCTGAAGTCCCCCTTTAAAAAAAATGGACCTGGCTGGTGGAAGTAGATTGATCTCTCCCTCTGGTCTCAAATTAAAAAATATGACTGATTATTAATTAGTATAAGTATAGTTATCGTGTATACTAGAATAGAAATAAAATTTTCAAAATAGCTTAAATTTTAGGCCGCTAGACCACCGGGTCCCCTTAAACCTTGGAATTCATAAATCAGTTTATGAGAAATAAATTTGCACATTTTCGTTTTAAAAAAAAGGAAATAATATCAAATATAACTTTTTTATCATTTGCAAGGCCTATTTAAATAACTAATTGTGAATATAAGTTATAAAATTGATCATATTTCTGGAAAAATAAAGTTTTTAGTGCTAAAATGACTGACTTAATGGAGTTTATGAGTTTATTAATAAGATTATCTCGATAGATATGAGCTTCATCTAAAAACGAAAGAAACCATTTTGTAGAGAATTTAATTTCCTACAAGCTTTTTTCATGATTTTTTGTCCAAATTTAAATACCGTAACAAATATTTCAAAAAACTATAATTTTATCGAAAAATCTTCAATTGAAAAACTTCAATTGCCCGTCGGCACGTCTTCTTTTCGTTTAAAATCAAAAAGCAAAATTTTTCCCGTAGTTTCTCGTCCTAAGGAAGGATTTTTTTGGGCGCCGCAAAAAATTTAATTTTTAACGACCACCCTAGTGATCATGATATCTCTAAATCGGACTGGAACCAAGTTGTCGAATTTTGGAAATTTATTTATTTTTTTAATAAGAAAAAAAAAAGAACAAAATACGTGGACCGACGTTCATGGTAGATTTACGTACTTTACAATTTGGATCTTTATACACTTACGTGTATCTATTTATACCTGGAAAACGGCAAGTTAGATATACGTAGATGTAAAAAATTTTTATTTAGGCGCGTAAAGCCTGTTTAAGTGCAACTTGTTGACTTTCACCTATCGATGATATGTTCTTTTTTAATGACCT